GTGTGTGCGTGGTGTGTGTGTGTGTGTGTGGTGTGTGTGTGTGTGTGTGTGCGCGCGTGTGTGCGTGTGTGCGTGTGTGCGTGTGTGTTTTTTATTCGGACTGGTCAGTACAAGATGCAAAAGTGGAATCACTGTTATATTCCTTTTACATCAGAATTCTACAAAGTACATTTATGATGATAAGAAGAAATTAAACCTTGAGAGCAATGAAATAGATATGCTTAAGTAAACAAAAGATATGGCAGCATCATCCGGCAGAGTGGTGTTAGCCGTATGGAAGTGGTGATGTTAATCATAAGAGAACACCATCCGTCAGGATCCCATAACTCCTCCATCGCCAGAAAAATTGGTCCCCAATTTGTTAGTTCAAGGCATCGAAGAATCTTGGTTTACAATTGTGGTATCTTTAACATAGCGATACTTAACATACAGGATTACAAAAGTCCAAAAAGTAGAAAAAAAACACTCATATAGAACTGTAGGTGTGTGTTTGTAAATTAAGGGAGTAGCATGACGCTATCCAAATGTTGTTTATAGTAAGAATTCAATGAAATATTTGGTTCAAGTTGTAATGTGATATTACTGGATTGATTAATAATAGGAATAGTTAAAATAATACTGTTTTGATTGTCGAAGGTAATGGCTCTTCAATGTAAGAATCACATTCAATAATAACATGACTAGCAGGAGATACCACTTTTACAACCATGAACATCGATTAAAATAAGTATCAATTATGTAATTATTTCCAGACAAAAAACAATATGATTATGAATAAAAGGTGAGAAGTTGCATTTATTATAAAGTATAGATTTACAAACGTGTGTTTATTGCTTAGTGAGACATCTGTGAACAATATTGTTCTTGTTTTTTGATCGAATAATTTGTGGGGAGTTGAATTAAATGTTGATTGTAGGAAATGGCGATCAACTTGGAACTAGCGAAATTCTTTGATCCAATATAGGATTACTTATAACAAAAATCAATTTGTTCGATAATGAAATTATAGATAGAGTAGTCAATGATAGGGATTCAAAAAGGTGAACTTCTCGAAAGGTAATAATTAATGAGGTTGGTAGATTTCTTCGAGATGACTTATTAACTTGAGAATTTCTGAATGTGTGAGCTGAATGTGTTTAAGCCTGTACTTTGGCTCAGATGAACTGTAGTAACAATCGATCGAGATACTGTCAAATTATGAATGTCTTCGAGTAGACTAATTCTATTAGAAAGTCGTAATTGTTGATTCAAAAGTAGTTGTTTGTTCTATACTTTTCTGTATAATTAAACTATTGTTTCCAAATGTGACTTGCAATGCTTAACAGAAGTAACGGTTGGTCGTTCTTGGTTTGGATAATGTCTTGATTTTGTCGTAGGATTTTGATTGTGAAGTATTTGCTGGAGATCGTATTGATCTAAATTTCCTGTTATGAATTTGATTGCAGATCCTAATGCGTTGATTAAACCTTTTTTATACGAACAGTGGTTAATGTTTCGTATGTTTTTTTCTAAATAGTGAATATATTATAGGGGTTTAAATCGTTAAGAAAAGGGGACTTGATTTGAATCGCATCACGTAGCATAACCATGGTGTTACTCATTGTAGTAAGGTCGACATGAAAATGTACCTTGTGATAAGTTTTAATTAGTTTTGCAGGACCTAGATTCAGTTGTAGTACTGGATGAGGATCCTTCAATCGAGTCACTTTAATGGCTTGACATATCGCTAGGAATATCTAAATAGATCCTCTTGGCGTTTAATTCCATTAAGTCGATGAAAGCGAATTTTAATTGTAATTTTGGGTCCTTGTTGTAAATACGTTTCTCTTTTTTGATAACGAGGCTGAGTTTTGCTAGTACGTTGAGCAGTAGGTCGTTGGATATACATAGATGGGTCTTTGAGATCTGAGATACTCGACTGTTTGTTTTGATTTCTAGATATTTGGATTTTCTTTTGTCTTTTTAGAAATTTCCTCATTAATAACTTGGTTAAGTGTTAAATCGGATAAGTGAGCGTAATATGGGTCTACTGGATTCGTTTGTCCGTATAATAGACTGAAAGGAGTGAATCGTGTAGTAGAATGGACTGATTGATTATAAATAAGTAGGGGTTCGGTAACTAGATCGGTTATGTGATCGTGTAGTTTTTTCTGAGCGTAATATGTGCATTTTGCAATAAAACTACTGTGGAATCTTTCAATTGGAGAAATAGGATTCGGATTGGCTGTACTTCCAATAGTTAGTTGTACTTTATTATTTTTGCAAAAGTCTTGTTTTAAGCGAGCGTTTAATTCGCCAGAGTCTGATTTTATTTGTAATGGATATCCGTGATGTGAGAAATAGTGTTTTAGCTTATTCAGAATTTCAGGTCCATTACGAGAGACGAGTTGATATGCTTGGACGTATCGACTGAAATGGTCAAGAAAAGTTAGATATTTAATTTTTTCGATAGAAGGAACGTCTACAAAAAGTAATTGGAATGGTTTGGTGGAAAAGAACGGTCCTTCTGAAGGTTCATTAAAAGGTCTTCGTTCGTATTTTGTTTTTAAGCAGGTTTCACATTTATTAATTATACTAGTTATAACGTCTTTCATACGGAGGTAAAAGAGGAGCTTTCTGAAATGTTCATATGTCCTGAAATACCATTATGATTTGTGGCATGATACTCTAAAATTGCGTTGGTAAAGTCATCTTTTGTAATATACGTCAGTTTGAAGGAGGCTTTCTCCAGTTGTACTTGTTTGGGAGAAAAGTGAGTACCTACAAACAGTTATGCTTAATAAAGGAAGTAATCTTGGGTCGTGGAACTAGATTCCGTATTTCTTACCTTGTTTGACATAGGTTGACTAGATAATTGGCGTTGGATAGACTTGATTTGAATCGCATCACGTAGCATAACCATGGTGTTACTCATTGTAGTAAGGTCGACATGAAAATGTACCTTGTGATAAGTTTTAATTAGTTTTGCAGGACCTAGATTCAGTTGTGTACTGGATGAGGATCCTTCAATCGAGTCACTTTAATGGCTTGACTTATCGCTAGGAATATCTTGATAATAGATCCTCTTGGCGGTTTAATTCTATAAGTCGATGAAAGCGAACTTTAATTGTAATTTTGGGTCCTTGTTGTAAATTCGTTTCTCTTTTTTGATAACGAGGCTGAGTTTTGCCAGTACGTTGAGCAGTAGGTCGTTGGATATACATAGATGGGTCTTTTGAGAACTGAGAGACTCGACTGTTTGTTTTGATTTCTAGATATTAGGATTTTCTTTTGTTACTGGAATAAAGGAAGTAATCTTGTGTCGTGGAACTAGATTCCCTATTTCTTACCTGGTTTGACATAGGTTGACTAGATAATTGGCGTTGGATAGTTTTGGAAGGAAGAGTTCTGTCTCAATATGAATTTCCTGTGGTGAATTCAACTCTGTTAGGATATGAATAGAAATTTCGTTCTTCAGCAATTTAATTAGATTAGGATTAGATTCGGGGACTAGTATGTTGCGTATTTTCAGATCGGTTGTCTGTGCCGTGAATAGATTCGTCATCGTTAATTACATACGTACGTATGCAGCGTTTACACACTTTAGTCTTCGGCATTTGCACTAGATGGCGCCACACCCACATGTTGACGTCATCCTATCTCTATCTCTCTTCTCTCTCTCTCTGTTCTCTCACCAATGCATCGGTCCAATCTTGTCTCACATGATGACGTAATCATGTGGGTGTGGGCGCCATCTAGTATTGAGATCCGCAACTCATCAATAACACATTGACGTTGGCACATGACGTTTGTGTGTGTGTGTGTGTGTGTGTGTGTGTGTGTTGTGCGTGTGCGTTGCGTGTGCGTGTGCGTGTGCGTGTGCGTGTGCGTGTGCGTGTGCGTGTGCGTGTGCGTGTGCGTGTGCGTGTGCGTGTGCGTGTGCGTGTGCGTGTGCTTGTGCGTGTGCGTGTGCGTGTGCGTGTGTGTGTGTGTGTGTGTGTGTGGCACCATCTAGCGGCGAGAAACCACAGGCCTATAAGTGATCGATATTCGGTTGGGGTATTTCATTCCAGGCTACTGCAACTTCGTGTTCTATTACATTTGCCGAAGCCTTTCACCTTAGAAGTAAATTATTGGACGTTGAGGTAAACAACGAATATTCTATTCCGTTGGATGTTCCGAGACCTTCCGTGCAATACCAATTTACTAATCATTCTATTTTTAGGTTTTCTTTTTCTTTTTTATGCCTTTACAAACCTAATTTGTACCTGAGAGCATTCGTGATCGATGTCCAATTCGACCCACTGTAAACATGGCTGACGACTCTCATTCGTATTCGACCTATTGAAAGATAGCGTTCCTAATTTTTCATATACTAGTAACAATCTTTCTACCTACTTAAGAAAAAGCGAAGAATTTCTTCGAGCATTTGCACAAAACTCCATATGCTAGATTAATGCTTTGGTTATGTCAAACTAAACTATCAGGAGAACCACCAAGTGTTGATAGATCAGGCTAATCCTGTCCAATTGGCCAGATCTTAAAAACCTGTTAATCTCTCATTATAAAGAACAAAAAGCTGAAATCATTCTTATTAATGAATTAATATGCTTAGACAAGTCGATACCTATCAAACTTTATATAACAAAATTTTAACGAAGTTACGTGCTCTACGTGAACATGCTGGTGTTGAATATACCGATGTAAACATAATTACATCCAAAGTTAGCTTTAGATTCCTTTATTACAGGACTAGAGAACCTGATCGATCTACATTAATACGACCGAAACCTGAAAATCTAGAGATTGCCCTTGTCATCGTTAACTTGGGGGACATTGAGTCATCGTCAGTGTCAGAATGGGCGTTAATTTCGATACGGCTTAGAGCGTCAGCAACATAGTTTTCTTTGCCTTTTAGAATTAGAAATTCTTTATTAATGCATATAGCATTTAAATATAAATAACAATACAAAATATAAAATCATTAATGGTGCATGATCACAAGAGGGCGGTCTACAATCTTAAACACTACTAGATACAACAAGACCAATTATATTACCCGTCTCTTCCTCTAGATCACTATGTAGTTCACTCTCGCCGCTAGGTAGCGCCACGCATTCCAAAGCTAAATAAAATAACATCTGACCGGTCCTACCCTCGCGTACCACCGAACGCTGTTGATGATTCATTACTCTTTTGCGTGCGAGTGGAGCCACGTCGCCCGTAACGTGACCGGTTCGGAAAATGAGTAGAAATATGCGAAAACGGGCTCAGGCCCTGTCTGATGCAGATTCGGATTCGTCTGATGAGCTGTCCGGAATCATGACCCAGTTGAACAAGCTGTCTCGTAAGGTATCCCGACTTCAGAAGAAGCGCAAAAGATGAGAGCCGTCACCCGAAAGCTAGGATAGTAGTGTTGGTGAAAGAAGCCTCTCCCAAATCATTCGGCCTGCTACCGTAGGCCTGGTAAACTACGATACCTCTTCATCGGGACGTAAGTATCCTATGGATGCATAATATAATTGTGTATAAAACAAAAACAATATGGCTACCAACGAGTTTTGGTTACACACGTCTGTCTAAGCAAGGGTACCCTTGTTATACCCAAATTGGGTATTACCGACGAGTTTCGGTATAATCCTGTGGTCAACGAGTTTGACAAACACACGATTATTTTATTACATTGCCAACGAGTTTTGGAAATGTAGGGCATCACAATTCTCCTATCTTGTCAACGAGTTTTGACAAATTCAAGTTTTTTTTTTTACAATGCCAACGAGTTTTGGCCACATGTAAGGTAGTTTATGATGTCGTCAACGAGTTTTGATAAGCGCAAGACGAACGAGTTTTGGCAAATAAATACAAGGCGCCGCCTTTATTTTCATATATTGTCAACGAGTCTTGGCGATTTCTAAAGGCAGGTACAGTTGTATCATAATTTCTTCCATTTTTGCAGCAGAGAATAACCTTGCCGAGCGCAATGTTGCCATATTAGACGGAACCTTGGAGAGGAACAATGTTGCCGAGTGCGATGTTGCCGAACGCAGTGTTGCCGAGTGCGATGTTGCCGAACGCAGTGTTGCTGAATGCAGTGTTGCCGAACGCAGTGTTGCCATCTCGGATGAAATTTAGAGACTTTTGGGGAAAAACTCTGTGGACGATCAAGCCTCTACAAAGACAGCGAACAGCGAACTTGTTCAAATTTGGTCCCATATATTAGGAAGGTTTGGATTCTGAGGTTTTAGCAACTATATGTAAAAAATATTCTCCTCCCACTAACTTAAGCCTTGCTAATGCCCCCAAACTGAACTCAGAGGTTTTATCGGTTCTCACGGAACAACACAAGCAGCGGGACTTGAAGCTCTCTAAGCTCCAAGACCAGATGGGGCTGCCCTGGTGGCAATTGGCAAAGCGCTGACAATTCTGTTGCAAAAAGGGGAGGGGGCACATACCAGAGTGCTGGTCGAATGCCTCAGTGATGCCGGACGTTTAATTTCGGACATTCACCATGAAGAATCTACGTGTAGGCGGAATTTGGTATCGGTGAGTGTAGACAAACAGCTCCGAGGAACCCTTTCTAACGTATCTGTGGATGGTTGGCTGTTTGGACAAAATCTGGGTGATCGGGTGAAAGCAGCTCGTGAAATGGAAAAATTGTCATCCAACCTGAAGCCTAAAGCAGTTACTGCTACACTGACGTCTTCGGTAAACTTCAAGGGTCTGCCTCGAGTGAATGTCAAGGGTTATCGAGGCAGACCGAAATACTCACGGAAAACCCCGAGTTTCGAAGCCAAGACTCCTCGGAAAGCCCCCCGATCAACGAAAGAAATTCGTCCAGCATACAGAAACCAATCAAACCCAAGCCTATCAAAAGCGGACCCTTTAAAGGTAATTTATATAAGTGGAAGACTAAAATTCTTTTACCAGCTTGGAATTCGTTAACGTCGGATAATCTTCTGTTATCATGGGTTAAAGGTTATCTAATACCTTTTTCTCAGACACCTGTTCAGAAATCTGTTCCTAAGGAATTGAAATGGTCTTCAACAGAACAGAGATTTTTAAATTTAGAAATCGAGCGTTTGTTATCCCTGGGCGCTATAAGAAAATGTTCTTTCGAGCACGGCCAATTTCTTTCAAATATTTTTCTCACACCCAAACAGGATGGCTCGTTTAGATTGATTTTAAATCTAAAAGACCTGAACAAGTTTATTACGACAGAACATTCCAAAATGGAGGACCATAAAACGGTAACAAGATTATTGGACAAAAACATGTTTCTTGCAACCATAGATCTCAAAGATGCGTATCACTTGATTTCTATTCATAAACATCATCGGAAATATGTCAGGTTTGTGTTTTCCGGACAAATGTATGAATATACTTGTTTACCTTTCGGTCTAAATACAGCGCCGTATGTGTTTACGAAACTGTTGAAACCAGTTCTATCCCATTTACGACAACAAGGTTTTTTATCAGTATTATATATTGATGATTTTCTATTAATGGGTCGTAGTTATGCTGAGTGTGTGATAAATGTTAACATAACTAAGAAAGTGTTGTTAGATTTAGGTTTTTTGATTAATTTAGAGAAGAGTGTACTTGTGCCATGCACAGAAATTAGGTATACTAAGTGACATATAAATCCGAACACCAGTTTAAATGGTTTTATTTTAATAAAAGTTGGTGAATGTATTTATCTTACTGTAAATAACAAGTGAAAAAATTTTCAGCCTTATCAGTTGGACATTCCGGTTTTTACACTGCTTTTTTTTAATTCACTAACGCTCTAAAAATGAATATTTCAGACGCAGTAAAGAATCAGTGTTGGCGGATTTTGGTTCTTGACATCCTTTACGATCGGTTACGATGCCTAGAGTACGGAGACCTGTACGATTTCGTCAACTTAGTGAGTTTGATAGGGGCCGTATAGTGGGACTTCGGGAAGCTGGACTTTCTTTTCGGGCAATTGCAGTTAGAGTGCAAAGAAGTGTAGACACTGTGGTTAGGTGTTATCAGGCATGGCTTCGAGAAGGCCGTACGCAAAGAGCAAGGGGCACTGGACGCCGCCGTAGAACAACATACCGTGAAGATCGCCGCCTAAGATTATTGGCCTTAAGGGACCGTTTCTCCACTACCAGGTCCATTGCAAATGAATGGTTTGCACAACACGGAAGACCTATTGGCATGCGAAGTGTTTACCGACGAATGAGAAGTTTTGGCTTGTTTTCATACCGGCCATACTGGATCCTCCCTTTAACTCGAGAACACCGACGTAATAGCCTTGAGTGGTGCAGACAACGGTCACTCTGGGATCAGGAATGGAACAGTATTGTCTTTAGTGACGAGTCTCGATTTTGTTTAGGCATGCACGATGGTCGTGTCAGGGTTAGAAGGCGACGTGGTGAAAGGAGGAATCCACAGTTTTTTGTTGAAAGACATGTTCATCACACTGTTGGAGTTATGGCTTGGGGTGCTATAGCTTACGGTTCCAGGTCACCTTTAATCTTCATCAGAGGTAACATGAACGCGCAGCGTTATATCCACGAAGTTCTAGAACCCCATCTTTTAGCCTATCTTGAGACCCTGGCAGATCCAACTTTCCAACAAGATAATGCCCGACCACATGTTGCAAGAGTCACAATAGACTTCTTTCAACATAATGATGTCACATTGTTACCATGGCTACCAAGATCTCCCGACGTATCCCCAATTGAGCACGTGTGGGATATGATGGGTAGGAGATTGCTCAATTTGCAACGTCCTCCTCAGACTCTAGAAGCAGTTCGAGAGGAGTTGGTGGTTGCCTGGAATGAGATACCACAGGAGGACATTGACCACCTGATCAGAAGCATGCCTAGGCGCGTTGGAGAATGCGTAGCACATCAGGGTGCATCCACACATTATTAAAGGTCAAAGGGCTTTAAAGCAGTGCAATCATTTTGAAATTTTATCATTTACTTATTATGCTTCATTAAGTACTTATACAAAATTTTATTAAAATAAAACCATTTAAACTGGGTGTTCGGATTTATATGTCACTTAGTATATTTGGGGTTTCTATATAATACAATAGATATGTCCTTAAGCCTACCTATAGACAAGCAAAACAGTATTTCAGAACATATGCGCAGGTTCGTGAATAAAACAACCTTCCCTATCCGGGAGTTTGCGAAATTGATTGGTAAATTGATTGCAGCATGTCCGGCAATCAAGTATGGGTGGCTGTACACCAAGAATTGTGAACGCGAAAAATTTTTGGCCTTGAGAAGGTCCAGAGGGTCTTACAATCACAAGATGAGAATGTCTACAGAGATTCTAATGGATCTTAGCTGGTGGAAAAGTCATCTTTCGGGCAAAAATACTTTTCACAGTTTCAACTTCAAATTGGAAATATTCAGTGACAGTTCTCGATCGGGATGGGGGATACACTGTAATGGTTGTAAGTCGCACGGTTTTTGGTCCAACGAACATAAGAAGCAACATATAAACTATTTAGAGTTATTGGCTGCATTCTTTGGACTTAAATGCTTTGCAGCAGATCTTGTAAATTGCGAAATACTTTTACGAATAGATAACACTACAGCCATTTCATATGTGAACAGAATGGGTGGTATTCAGTTCCCACATCTTAACAGCCTTGCTAAGCAAATTTGGCAGTGGTGTGAAGAGCGTAATTTATTTATTTTCGCGTCTTATATAAAATGCAAGACAACATTATAGCCGATCAGGAATCGCGTCAACTAAATACTGAAACAGAGTTTTCAATAGCGGATTATGCGTTTAATAAAATTTGTCGTGACTTAGGAACACCCGAGATCGATTTATTTGCTTCCAGAGTAAATTCAAAATGTAAGCGATTTGCTTCTTGGTTCAAAGACCCTGAAGCCGAAATTATCGACGCGTTTACAACTTGCTGGACTAATTACAAATTTTATGCATTCCCGCCTTTTTCCCTAGTGGCTAAAGTGCTACAGAAAATAGTTACAGACAAAACGGAGGGTATTGTAGTAGTACAGTGTTGGCCCAGTCAACCATGGTACCCTCTATTCAAATCACTGCTTGTAAAGAAATCAATAGTTTTCTCTCCTAACATAAATTTATTGTTATCCATTGACAGAACACCCCATGCGCTACACCGGAAACTTTCCCTGGAAGCAGGGCTATTATCAGGCAGGCAATGATAAATAATGGAATCCCTGAGGAGGCAGTGGAGATATCAGTTTCATCTTTAGCACAGTCGTCACTGAAGCAATACACCAACGGATTGAAACTATGGTGGGAATTCTGTCACCAACGTAACATAAACTGTTTTGAACTAAATAGCCAGGCTATACCATGTTTCTTGTCGCGCTTGTATGGCCAAGGCCGATCATATAGTTCGTTGAATGCAACAAGATCGGCTTTATCCTTACTCATTTCACCTCGAGTTGGCGAAGACCACCATATCAAAAGATTTTTCGAAGGCGTTTTCAAATTACGACCACCTTTGCCTAAATATCATGCAACGTGGGATCCGGCTGTGGTTTTAGGTTATCTGGAAACATGTTACCCTAATAATACAATTAGTCCAGAGGCAGACACATAAATTATCGATGTTGATGGCCCTGGTTACGGCACACAGAGTACAAACATTTTCAGTTATAGAGGTACCAAATATCGAAATATCGGAATCAAAAATAGAAATAAAAGTCCCGGCAAGGGTTAAAACCTCAGCCCCAAATAGATACCAACCTTTACTGATACTGCCATTTTTTCACAATAACCCAAAACTATGTGTAGCAAGTACGCTTAAATGTTATTTGAACAGAACCAGAGATTTCAGGCAGTCTGGTAAGCTCTCGAAACTTTTTCTGACTCATAAGAAACCTTATAAGGAAGCAACGGCACAGTCCATTAGTCGTTGGATTCGCATAGTGCTGGACAAAAGTGGAATTGACACATCGATCTTTACAGTACATAGTACTAGACACGCGTCCACGTCAGCAGCTGTCAATAGGGGTATCAACATCGATACAATACGCAATACAGCAGGTTGGACTTCGTCATCAAATTTGTTTGCAAGATTTTATAACAGACCTTTAAAAAATACTGACAATTTTGCAGACGCAATTCTCAGACTATAGTGAATAGTTTACAGTTGTAACAGTTAGAATAAGTTTTCGCACATGGATGGTTGTCTCTCATAAGAATGTTGGAGATTAAAGAGAGTAGTTACTACTTCCCTCTTTCTTTTATTCTCCTGTAACTGTTGCAGAATCAACTTTAAACATCTACATAGTGATCTAGAGGAAGAGACGGGTAATATAATTATAAGATTAAACGAACTTACCTAAGTGAAGTTTGATCGTAATTATATGACCGTCTCTTCCGAATAGATCACTCCCTCCCTCCCAGAACCCGTGATCTATTCTAACGCAACAGTTACTGCTTTGAAATAATGAATCATCAACAGCGTTCGGTGGTACGCGAGGGTAGGACCGGTCAGATGTTATTTTATTTAGCTTTGGAATGCGTGGCGCCACCTAGCGGCGAGAGTGAACTACATAGTGATCTATTCGGAAGAGACGGTCATATAATTACGATCAAACTTCACTTAGGTAAGTTCGTTTAATCTTATAATTATTACTGTACTACATTTCTCACTTTATTCGCAAAAATCCTAAAACTATCATTGAAAAAGTCAATTTTATTGCACTTCTGCACTACACTATTTGCTTTCATACACATTCGAGTTATAGGAGAATTCACACCATAATTTGTCCTATGATATGGAATATGAAATAATGACTTACTTCTTGACTCCTTTGACGGCATGTGAAAACCAACCAGAGCAAGGAGATCAGGTGCATTAATTTGATTGTTAATGATCTTAAAAAGTGTGCAAATATCAAACATATCTCTTCTGTTTACAAGTGGCGTTAAGTTCAGTAGAGTCATTAGGTCCTGACAATTAATGTCATCATAAGGAATGCCAAGCTTTAGCACTATTCGCTTAAGAAATTTTATTTGGATTCTTTCAATACTATCTCTGTGCACAGCATAATAAGGATGCCAAACAGAGCTGGCATATTCAAATAATGATCTTACTAAAGCACAGTAGACATCTCTCACAATAAAAACATTATTGACATCCCTAACACTTCTAAAAACAAATCCCAAAAGACGCATAGCTCTTGATGTTATTTTCTCAATGTGAGACACAAATGTTAACTCACAATCAAGCCACACACCCAAATCCCTTACTAGGTTTGTTCTCTGTAAAATTGCATTTTTTAGTGAGTACTCAAAAGCTATTGGATTTTTAATTTTACAGAAGGTTTACTTTACACTTATCAGTATTTAGCATTAAGTTATTTACATTGCACCAATGAGAAAACCTATTTAAATCTTCCTGCAAAGCGAGGCAATCACTCGTATTTCTAATAATCTTAAAAATTTTTAAATCGTCCGCAAAGCCAAGAAAAAGACAATTAACAAAAATATCCTTAATATCATTCACAAAAATATTGAATAGAAGCGTAGACAAATGGCCTCCCTGGGCAACACCCGATGTAACACTAATTTCTGAGGATATATAATTTTTGATCTTAACCACTTGGTATCTATGTGTTGCATTACTCTCAAGCCATGTAAGTAGAGTGCCATGTATGCCAATTGACCTCAGCTTGCTTACCAAGATACCATGATCAACTCTGTCGAACGCCTTTGAGAAATCAGTGTATACAGCATCCACTTGATATTTATTCTCAAAGGCATTCAACAGAAGGTGCTCATAGGTTAGGAGATTTGAGACAGTTGATTTTCCCTTAATAAAGCCATGCTGCTCATTAATTATAATATTCCTGACACATGGAGATATTTTGTCATAAATTATGGACTCAAAAACCTTAGCAATAACTGAGATCTTAGAAATAGCTCTATAATTTTTTATATTTGACTTATCCCCTTCCTTAAAAACCGGTGTTACATATGACCTCTTCCAGACAGTGGGGAAAATACCCGTGACAAGTGACAAGTTAAAAATTTTACATAAAACATCAGATAAAACGCATTTACAATTTTGTAATAAAATTGCCGGAATTCCATCAGGACCAACTCCTAAGTTAATACTCAAGGACTCAATTTTATTAAAAACTTCTATAGAAGATACACTTAAACTACTTAAATTAGTACATTTGTCAGACTTGCAATTTTGATTAATATAGGAGCCCTGCTTTTCTGAAGACACAGAAGAAAAATGCTGTTTAGACATCTCTGTGGATCATCTGTTTCAACATCGTTAAGACACATGGATTTTGGATATTCAAGATCCTCCTTTTTGGAATTGACAAATTTCCAAAAGGACTTTTTATCATGTAGTTGGCCTTCAAGTGTTTGAATAAATTGTTGATATGATTTCTTGGATAAAATGCTGCATTGTGATCTTAATTTTGAAAACTTTATATAGTTTTCTTCTGTTTTAAGTTTTTAAACATTTTGTGAGGCATTTTCTTTTGAATTATTAGATTTTTTAATTCATGATTCATCCATTTTGGAAATTTAGGTGTTTTAAATCTGGAAACTCGTGTAAATTGAATAAAAATTTGATCCAAGATTTCATAAAACATAGAAACTACAACATTGACATCATCACATTCAGAGAAAAAGCTCCAGACAACAAATGACAGACAAATATTTATTTGGTTAAAATCTGCAGATTTAGGTAAAAGTAATCACACAATGGGGATATGTCTGAATTATTAAGCTTAAAACACCACTCAAATGCTGGATGCGGTAAATCAAGTTTTAACAAAGGTTGGGGACACACATTAACATTTACATTTGGATGATTACAGAACATTAAATCTAAAAAGTTTCCATAAACATTTGGTATAGTTATTAACTGGTATAACCTTAGATAAGCAATACAGTCTGCAATGGCTGTTACTTCGCTTCTTAACAGTCCCGTAGGAACTGACCCAGTTTCATACTTTTGCCATAAAACATTAGGAAGATTAAAATCACCCCAGGCAAAAATATCAGTAAAATCATCTGACTCGTACAGGTGTATAAGGGAAAAACAGAAGCTTTCATAAATGTCAACTGATGAAACCCATGGAATATACGAATTTCCCAATAAAATCTTGTGACAACCAATAGTCAGTTTGATAAAAAGTTGTTCAACATTTACAGTAGGCGGTGTTACTAAACGACAAGAGAAACAATTCTTAATCGCTACCAACACACCACCCTGGGTTTGACTTGTGCTTGTCATTTCAGACCTGTCACATCGGAAAACTATGTAGCCATCTAGACCTAACTCGCTTGTCAAAATTTCACTATTTAAAAAAGTTTCGGCCAACAAAATAATGTCAAAATCTTCGGAAAGAATACTGCACATTAAATCAGATATTTTTGTTCTAATTCCTCTAACATTCTGATAATAAAACCTTAAGTCCCCACTTAGGTCTCGTGGTTGATCCCTGCAACTTGAAAATTCTGATTTGAGGTAGGTTCATTTACATTGAGAGCAGCTTGGAACTTTCTCCGAAACAGAAATGGTCAATATATTACATTATGTGGGCAAAAATTACAATTATCAAGAACATTATAATAACATACACCAATTCCAACCTTAAAGGACTTTTACATGGATTTAGAAGGGAGCTCCTCCACTACCAAAGTCTTGTGCCCCGCAACATCAATTTTTTGCTTAATATAATCAGATATTACATTTGTCGTCACTGTGTCTGCAACTCTCCCCACAAATAACCATTTCTTCCCTGGTACACCTTGAAAGAGGCCATCCGTAATTACAGCGGTGCCTCTATTTCCAGATTTTGGTTGATTAGATCTATTTGGTTTAAAAATGTCATTGGGTGATATGCATAAAGGCGAGTGGCTACTTTTGACTCGCATTTTTAAAGTAGCCACTCCATTTGATATGCATAAAAATGTAAGTAGAAGCTCACACTCATAAGTTTCTACACTTTCCGTGAGGCTGTACTCGCTCCTTGAGTGCCGACTTCAATTTTTATATGCATAAAAGTGAGCGTCCACTCTGACCGCTGAGTGCATACTTAAAGAAATGCGAGATACCTTAGTAGTAGACTCAGCTTTATAAGAAGTGAACGAAATGGCCGAATTTATGCCTACTTATCAGCCTACGAAGGTGTTTAAAGGAAGTAGACTATCGGGCCTTATATCGGTTTAGTAAAGTTAATGTTGAGTGGATAAGTAACCATTTTCTTGGAGAGACAGAAGAATATAGGGGCGGTGCTTTGAGCAATATAGAAAGAATGAGGGTTTTTTTTACGATATGTGGGTGATCCAGGATTTCAAATTGGCATAGGAGAAGCTATTGGTGTCCATCAATCTACGGCATCCCGTACCGTTTCCAACGTTATAACACGCATTGTGCGGAAGTCGAGCATTTGGATTAGATTCCCAACCACATGTGAAGATCTACACAATGCTAAAATGAGTGGCAAGAAAAGTTCAATTTTCCTTCAGCTATTGGTGCTATAGACTGCACCCATATACCTATTCTGAACCCGTTTATTCATGCAAACGAATATGTGAACAGAAAGAACTTTGCTAGTATAAATGTACAAGCAACGTGCAATTCAAACGAAGAGTTCACAAGTGTGGATGTTTCTTGGCCAGGATCTGTACACGACTCTCGGATATGGAAGAATTCTGATATATGAAATGGAATAGGGCTAGTGCTGTTTTGTTGGGAGACTCTGGGTATGTTATAGCTCTTTGGCTCATGACTCCTTTTAGGATTGCAGAAACAGCAGAACAAAGATCATACAATCGGCTGTTTACGAGAGAGCGAGTTATAATAGAGATATGTTTCGGGCAACTAAAACAGCGATTTCCCATTCCACATAACAAAATACGCGTCGATACAGAAAAAGTGCCCTCCCTTGTCATGAGTTGTTTTATCTTGCATAATGTGGCTAAGCACCTTAATGATGAAGATTTTGCTGTTGATATACCGGGAGATGGCGAACAAGAAGAAATCCATAATCAACATGGTGCTGACTATGCAGATGGAGTGATATGTCAGAGAGGTCAATTTAGAAGAGATGCAATATCAAGAATTATTCATGGCTATCGGGTCTAAGTAAGTATCTAGCATGATCCAAATTTACAAATTATGTAGATATACGTTGAAGAACGATGTTTAATTACTCATAACAAAATTAATAACACTTTCAAAATGGCAACTTAAGAGAAAGTTCTTAAAATTAATAAAAAATAACATTTATGAAACATGAAGTACTTTTGTCAGTTCTGTCCTGGAAATAGGCTCATGAAAATTGGATTGCCAGTTTCTGCACTTTCATTTAAAGTTGATAAAATTGGATCAGATTCATTAATATTTTTCTTGTGAAGTAGCAGTTCCTTAGCTAGCCGAAACACTTGTATTTGTTCAAGTAAAACGAGACGTTGGAGCTCTGTTATTGATAAATCTCGTGCTTCATCAGTTTCCACTAATCCGTTTTCCTCTTTTTTTAGAAGGCTCCTTACTGGGTCCCGCTTTCATTGTGGTAGCTTTCAGTACTGGTCCTGAACTTCCAGATGCTTCTTCGGTGATTGTTTCTTCTTCAGCACAGGCTGCTGGAGTGTAATCAATGCTTTTTTGTGGGCAACCTGCCACAACAGCACCCACAATTTAAAATATATGCTATTTATATTCATTGAGATGTATATATATTATACTCAATCACATCTTATACCTACTGTATGGAAAAACAAAAAAATACAACTAACATTGCAATCGAGCAATACTAGGATTTGGTTCTCCTTGTAGAAAATTGAACAGTTCTTGTTCCCATCCTTTCAATTTTATTGGTTTGTTTCCGGTTTGATATCTGTCTGTCTTCGCTTTTAATCTGGTTTTTATGTTTTGAATCTTCTTACAAATCTGCCCTTCGTTATAATTAACTCCTAATTCGGCTTCTACCTTTTCTTTTATTTCTTCAGCCGCCTTACGTCGTTTATTTTTGATTTCCGGGATGTTAGATTTTTCCAACAAAACAGGATACTGTTTGATTTTCAGATGAATGGTCTTCAGAATAGGTATAATCGACCTAAACACCACCGACACAAACGTTTACCGGTATACAGTAGTAACTGCTCGCAATAGAGAAATTGCCAATTCGACGAGACAACAAAATACAAGTCGGAACTCGAAAACCAGAGTGCGTACTCAAGTATTTCATTAGCACTTGAGTAGCCTCTCCGTTTCTCGACAAATATTTTATGCATATCAAAACCGAGTATGCTCTCCCTAACAGGAGTAGTTACTCGCTACAATATGGAGTAGCTACTTCTGAGAACCCACTCGCCTTTATGCATATCACCCATTATCTTTTGAGTTTGCTGTGAGTGCTGAGGCGCTAGTATACTTCGAACACATGGTTTGGGCCATAGCTTCATTCACCGCAATATGCACTTGGCTATTACTTATAAATACCTCAGATTCATCAGAATTTCCCTGGTTCTTATTATTGTTATTGTTTGCATTTAAGATTTTATTTTTTGACGTCGACTTTTTGCGGTTATGTTGACTAGCTTCTTCATTTCTTGACAGTAGTGTCCTTATGGGGATTGAATCTCAGTAGTTCTAAAATCGGCCACCAGAGGCGCTGGCGTCGCGCGCCATTGATGGGTTGGACGGAATCTGTATGCGAAATTCATGAGTTGGGGATTCCGCCGCTAGATGGCGCTGTACAAACCAAACGGAATCTATGTGTCGTTGGACACGGGTTGGGCATCTCGCGCATAGATGGCGCCGATTTGTTGTCTGGCGCTGTACAAACCAAACGGAATCTATGTGTCATTGGACACCTGTCATTGATGGGTTGGGCATCTCGCGCATAGATGGCGCCGATGTCGCACCTGTCTGGTGTTGGCGTGGATTACGGGGGGCATTTAGAACCTGTATACAGGGGTGTATCGAAAAATAGCGGATCGATGACCTAAATAGCGTGGTGGGCTCCTCTGGTCGGTCGGTCGGTCGGTGAGAATGTCTTATAGCCTATATACGATGTACTGTTATTATTATACAGGATGATACCGTTCAAAATGAAAATAGTATAATGGATATTTTATTGAAACATATAGTATATATAACAATAAGGTTGATTGGTGTGTGTGTGTGTGTGTGTGTGTGTGTAGGTGTGTGTGTGTGTGTATGAAATTTTCAGTTGCTTACAGTGTCGTCTGAACCAATATCGCTGTGTTCTGGTCGTGCAGGTAGATTGAATGATTGTTTTAAGTGATTCTTGTAATTATCAGGGAGTACTTTAGATGTTGATACTAATCGACTCAAATCATTCTTCGACAACTGATTTGGTTCATGACAGACAAGAATCAAATTATGTATTTCACGGTTCAGTTCTGGTTGTTTTTTAATTTTTTCCCTAAAAGCCTCGTAATTAGCCTCCTCGCTGGTTATTTTTGGTTTTACCATTTTTTTATATCAACCTCTTTTTGAACAAAACAATTGCTTGCGACTGGTTTGAATGATTGATACTGTAGCACTGCTACTGCTAATACACAGACTTTATGTAGTAGAATGATGGTGGGGGTGGGGAGTCGAAGGAACCGAATGTTTTTTTTTGTTTGACAACAGGCTGAATACGAAATAAACATAGCTTTCAGAAAAATGTATTTTTTAATGATATACAGATACAAGTTTAGATAACAGAGTTTTTAGTTGATGTAACAAATCCTCGCTGGGGCATGGTACTCCAAATAGAGTCCAATGAAATGGTCCGGTCGCAACAACTTTTCTTGTAAATTCATTAAATTTATAGTAAGTTGCGTGACGGAAAAAGTAAATATGACCATCAATCCATCGAAATGCGAGAGAAATATCTTCAGGTAACCCAGGAAATATGTCTCTTATCCGTCCTCTGTTCAACACATCAGTAAAATCGTTAGAAAATTCTATATATGACATATTATTATAAAAGGTATAGGACCGTCCTGCGTTTGATTGAAAAATAGCATTGATTCGAGCCCTATCGGGTATATCAATTGAAAAATTATCAAGAAATTTAATGGTAGGGAATGATGCTGAGAAATATTTGTTTGGAGACACAATGGTAATCAAGTCACCGTTTGTTGATTGGAAAATATGTTGTAAAGTGTATTGACGTAATTCTGTAGGAACATAATCGACAAGAAGTTCAGGCTGAGATGGGATAATCATTTCGTTTAAGTCTAGTTTCCATATAAACATATCATGTGCAATATATAATCGGTAATTTGAAAACTCTGGAGCAATGGCTAAAAACATAAAATCTGGAATAATATCACACAAATTTTTGAGGATCGGCTGCTTACGAGTTGTAGATCTTATAGTTGTTGTTGTTTTTGGTATTGCTGATGCGGTGGTAGACTTTGGGATTGAATCATATTTGTTTTTTCTTCCATATAGATATTGTACTGCATTTATATCATCAACATCTAGACCACGAATCTCATGCTGATAGAAGGCAAACATAATAGCATTCGGAGAAGCACTATGTGCTATGCCGAGAGCATGTCCAATTTCATGAACCAACACCATAAGAAAACTAGTTTGATTTTTGGGTATATATGGATTATTTCCAAAATACCAGCGTTCATTTATATCTAAATGGATTTCTCTACAGGTGCCGCTAGAGTCAGGAAAGTATGCATGTCCTAAAACGCCGCCAGCATCATCTAATGTCAATGGACATTCATCATTACCCATACAGTTTGCTCTAAAATAATGAGTCTTGCTAACCATGGTTATAGTAATATCAGGAGGATATAGAGTGGGATTGGTAACCATTGTAAATGTTAAGTTTGAAACATTTTGCCACATCTGAAAAGCCATTTCTGCATCTTTTTGGGCCGCAGGTGTGTTTCGAGGGAAATACCATTTCAGGTCATGTTTCCGAAATGGAAAACTTGCTCTAAATTCGGCATCACTGTATTGACAACGCGGACGATTCATAAATTCAATTGTTGCATTATTCAGCAATCCATCCACTGGTAAATTATACTTTTCTTGCAAGTAAGTCAGCAAAGTAGAGAGATCTGTTGTATTATCAATGATATGTTCATATTGAGTTAGGTATACTATAGCGTCTTTTTCGGAGAAATCGTTGCAAAGCACGTATGTGAAAGTTGAAATAAAAAATAATACGTCTACCCACATCAACATCTTGATAGAGAATGATGTCAAAAATCTCAGATAGCAAATATAAATTCGTTTACCCCCCAATCAAAATCTTGACTGAAAAAAAATTAGGCAGCAAATATACAATAATCATACACGAATTTCTATATTTCTAAATTTCTACTCTCATGTGCAACTTGTAATTGGAATTTCCGCCGGACAAACGATACATTCATGTATTACTAAGAAATTATATAAAAAATACTGCAACCGCAATGAATGTTGTTTTCTCGATAAAAATGGTACTGAGAATATGATGCATATAATATGCATATTTACGATACAATTATCTCATGCACTTGTGTGTCATCTCAACCACGTATTTATATTGAGCGAGCGCATGCAATAGACATCATTGTTTCACACTCAACGCACAACGCTGCAAGCTGCAACAACGACCGCAGTACAATAGTGCTTCGAGAGAGACGAGAGAGCGAAAATTTTAAAAAAAGTAAGTGCTATTTTATTTAATATTTTTCTTTTTATGTCTCTAAGTGCAACTGTTTTTTTTTTCGTTTTTTCGTGTTATGCTTCAAAATAGTTAGACGACTCAATTTTTTTTATAGATGGATTTATCAAAAATTAATGCTGCGTCTTCGATTGTAGACCGCAAACCTATCAGAAAATTAAAGGACCTGCCAATTGGGACACCATTTGCAATCCAAGCAGCTAAAGTGGTCAAGTCGAAATTTGGGGAAGCCGTGCTACTAGATTTAGGACCGGAAGTGCTATTTCTACCACAGCGGGTGACTGATACGTACCAGCCGGTCATCGACGAACTTTTTCACGGAAAATACTCGATCATCTTCCAAGGGGAAGTGGACGTAGGGAAAAGCCGACCTCTAGCATCATTCAAAATAGTGGAAAATTAACAAAGCAGAGAACAGGAGGAGGAGGACAGGGTGAGCATTTTTATATATTTTTGAGTAATGTGTTTGCTTGAAAAAAATGTCGTCTTTTCGAATGTCTTCAAATAAGGTTAAAAAGATCATCAAACAAACAGACGGTGTTCTACTATCAATTGTTAGTTTACGGAAAATTTTATTTGATAATTTTACAATCAGAGACGCGGAAGTGTGGCTGAAACGAATAGAAAAACAAATTAGATTATGTAAACGGGTAATTCGTAGTAGAAGGCAAAATAAATTATCTGTAGGGACCTGTAGAAAAGTAGAAACAAATTTGGGGCATTTTAAACATTTTAGAAAGTTGATTTTAACTAGACATATTGGGGCAGGACTTCACTTAACATTGGGTCAGAGGGTTAGATGGGAAAATGTAGAATCGAGCTTTCAAAGTAGAATAAAAACCGGTTCCATAGCTAATTTGCGTCATAAGGACTTGAATCAATTTTTAGCAGATTGTGTAGTTGTTTTTAAAAGGAAAATTAGTAATATTTTGAACACCCATTGTGCGCTCAAAGTAAATACAACATTTTGCGGGGAGTTTATTAGGAAATCGGGGGATAATGAAATTTTGGGAATTAAATATATTAATACTAAAAATCATATTATTGATACATCAACTCAAATAGACGAGTGGTTTAAGATATATGTTAAAGATAAACTTTTAAACGAATTATCGGAATTTGCTGAAAAAGATTCGGGATTTGCGTTAAATAAAATTATTTCCTTAGTTGTTAATATCAGTAAATATCAATTGGGAAACGGTTCATCTTATATTAGACTACCAGAACCGATTATAAGGAAAAAAGCTTGTATAAACATTAAAAATATAGATCAAAATTGCTTTTACTGGGCCATTGTAAGCGCTCTTCGGACTCCTAGCAATAAACGACATGCAGAACTAACCTCCTCATATCCACACTTTACTGACGTTTTACAAACAGAAAATTTAGATAGTCCTATGCTGCTAACAAAAATTTCAAAATTTGAAAAGATGAATAATATTTCAGTCAATGTTTACGCTTTAGAATTGATTGAAACAGAAAAAAAATCATTTTACATAGTAGTACCAGCAAGATTAACGGAAAATAAACGGGATACGCATGTTAATTTACTTTTAGCTCAAAATAAATATTATCCGCGTTTAAATGATTATGATGCCCCTCCACCACCGCCAGCAAATGAAGATAATGATTCAATCGATGAAATTAAATATCACTATTGTTGGATTAAAAATCTTTCGCGTCTTATTAGTAGCCAGTTAAATAAACATCGTGAGAAAAAATTTATTTGCGATAGATGTCTGAACTATTTCCATCAGCAAAATAAATTAGTTGAACATGAAAAACTGTGTTCTAAATTTAATAAATATAAAATTAACCTTCCTAAAGAGAGCTGCGTTGAATTTAAAAACTTTACATACCAACAAAATACTCCTTTTGTTGTTTATGCAGATTTTGAATGTCAATTAGAAAATCATAAAGAAAGTAGCGTCGTAAATTTAACTAAAACCATAAAATATCAAAAACACGTTCCGTATAGTGCTGGTTTCTATGTAAAATGCAGCTATGATGATAGCCTTTCTTATTTCGAGAGCTATCGAGGTGCAGATTGTATGGATTGGTTTGCAAATCGTATGGCTGGTGTTGCGCAATTTGTAAACTCAAAAATAAAAACAAGCGTACCTGTGATTGAAAAATTAGACACATGTAAGGCAACATCATGTCATATTTGCGGTAAGAGATTTTCAAAAACAAAAAAAGACATAATCGTTACAGATCACAACCATTTCAGTGGAGAGTTCAGAGGTTACGCACACCAAGTATGCAATCTGAACTTTAGAAAATTGTTTGTAGTGCCGGTTATATTCCATAATTTAAGTGGGTACGATAGTCACTTTATGATTTCGAATTTATGTAAAAAAGGTCGCTTAAGTCTACTTCCCATCAACAAAGATAAATACATCTCCTTTACGCTGCACTCAGATGAAAATAACATTAAATTGCGGTTTATAGACTCTTTTCGATTTATGGGGGCTTCTCTTGATGAATTAGCTTCAATTTTAGCAGAATCAGAAAAGAAAATTTTACAAAGGGAATTTCAAAATTTAGATGAAGATAAATTCAAATTATTAACACAGAAAGGAGTTTTCTGTTACGATTACATTGATTCTTTGAAAAAATTAAATGAAACGACTTTGCCCCCAATTGAAAAATTTTACAATAAATTAAACGATGAAAGTGTAAGTGACGAAAAGTATGCTCATGCGCAATCTGTTTGGCAACAGTTTAACATTAAAACATTAGGAGAGTATTCTGATATATATTTAAAAACAGATATTCTGCTTCTTGCCGACGTTTTTGAGCAATTGCGTAAAAAATGTTTCTCCACCTATGGTCTGGATCCTGCGTGGTACTATACAATGCCCGGATATACGTGGGACTGTATGCTCAAATACACTGGGTGTAAGTTAGAACTACTAAAGGATCTGGATATGGTGATGTTTTACGAAAATGCTATAAGAGGTGGAATTTCGGTGTGTAGCAACCGATTTTCGGAGGCCAACAATAAATATATGCCCGAATATGATCCTGAAAAGCCGTCCAAGTACCTTATGTACCTGGATGTAAATAACCTATATGGGGATGCTATGCAGCAACCCTTACCCTACGGAGGGTTCAAATGGATAGATGATGTAACATCGTTTGATGTGATGTCAATACCCGACGACTCTGACGTAGGGTACGTGCTACAAGTCGATCTATCGTACCCACAAGAACTGCACGATAAACACAAAGATTTTCCGTTTGCGGCAGAACGTAGCGTACCACCCAGCGACGGCGGGGTAAAATTGCCGAAATTAATGACAACACTTACGGATAAAAAAGAGTACACGGTTCACTATAAAAATTTAAAACAAATGCTAGCTAATGGATTAAAGTTAACGAAAATCCATAAAATTTTACAATTTAAACAAGCAGCCTGGCTGAAACCCTACATCGAGTTGAATACTCGATGTAGGGCTGCAGCTCGGAATGATTTCGAAAAAAATCTTTTTAAATTAATGAATAATGCAGTATTCGGTAAGACCATGGAAAATATACGTAAGCACCGCGTATGTAAAATCGTTAAATCTTGGGGTGGTCGCTATGGGGCAGCAAACTTGATTTCGAGTTTTCGGTTCCACAGTCGCACAATTTTAGAGGAAAATCTGGTGGTTATCGAATTGAAAAAGGCTGAAATAACGTTTAACAAACCTCTGTATGTAGGGCAGGCAATTCTAGACCTATCGAAACTAGTCATGTATGATTTTCATTACACCTATATGCTACCAAAAATGGGTGCAGAAAGGTGTAAGCTCATGTACATAGACACGGACAGTTTTATCTACGAATTGCAATGTGAGGATGCATATGAGGAGATCATTAAGGCTGATTCCAGTAAATTTGATACTTCGGATTATCCTGAAAATAACATATATAAAATACTGCGTAAGAACAAAAAGGTGCCGGGTCTAATGAAAGATGAAAATAACGGTAAAATTATGACACATTTTGTTGGACTTCGAAGCAAAATGTATAGTTACAGGGTGCAGGGTGGGAAGGTGGTTAAAAAATCTAAAGGGGTTAAGTAC